TCCAGCACCCAGGGTGGACACAGCCCTGCACACCCGCTGTGTGCGTCAGCGCGGAGCCCCGGGAACACCCTCCCGAGACCCACGCTCGGCCCGGCTCTCCCGCTCCCCACCAAGTCCTGACCGAGGCAGGGGCACGCCAGGGGGCCCCTCCGAAGCTTCTAGTCCAAAAAACCCCACCTCTGTGCCTGTTACACGGCTGGTTAGCGATCCTTTGGGACTGGGGCTGGCTCTCGGCACCCCCACCTGGCCCCCGCGACGGGGCGCCTGGCCCTGCTCCGCTCCCCCGAGCCGGATGCGCCTGCCGAGGCCCCCAGCAGTCTCTGACCAGTCAGTGCTCGCAGCAAACACAGGTTTGGCCCGTGGCCACCACGAGGAGGCCGCACTTGTCCTACCGGCCACATGGGCACAAGCCGGGCGGGCGATCGCCACTGCGGGCTGGAGGCACTGCCCACCCTCCCCCGCCTCCACCCCACGCTACCGCCCGGACCACTGACATTACAGCACACCACACCGGAGTTCCCACGCCAGTGCTCGGACCCATGGATGCACATGCAGGGGCCATGGGGGGGGGGGGGGCAGGGAGGACAGCAGAGGACACCGGGAGGAAAGCAGGACATGGGGAGGAGGGAGGCAGACCGTGGGGAGGAAGGAGGAAGGAGGCAGTGAGGGAGAGGAAGGAGGACGTGAGGAGGAGGGAGGACGCAGGGAGGAGGGAGGCAGGACACGGGGACGAGAAAGGGAGGAGGCAGTGAAGAAGAGCAGGGAGGACGCGGGAAGGAGGGAGGGAGGACATGGGGAGGAGGGAGGACACAGGGAGGCGGGAAGCAGGACACAGGGAGGAGGGAGGGAGGACGCGAGGGGGTAGGGAGAGAGGACACGAGGAGGAGGGAGGGAGGACGCAGGGAGGAGGGAGGGAGGATGTGGGAAGGGAGGGAGGACACGGAGAGGAGGAAGGAGGAAGGATGCAGGGAGGATGCAGGGAGGAGGGAGTGAAGGGAGGATGCAGGGAGGAGAGAGGATTCGGGGAGGGAGGACACAGGGAAGAGGGAGGGAGGATGCAGGGAGGAAGGAGTGAAGGGAGGATGCAGGGAGGAGGGAGGATTTGGCGAGGGAGGACGTGGGGAGGAGGGAGGGGAGGGAGATAGGACGCAGGGAGGAGGGAGGAAGAGCATGGGGAGGAGGGCAGCAGGACGCGAGGGGGTAGCGAGAGAGGACACGAGGAGGAGGGAGGGAGGATGTGGGGAGGAGAGAGGGAAGGGAGGACGCAGGGAGGAGGGAGGGAGGATTCGGGAAGGGAGGACACAGGGAGGAGGGAGGGAGGAGGGAGTGAAGAGAGGACACAGGAAGGAGGGAGGATTCGGGGAGGGAGGATGTAGGGAGGAGGGAGGGGAGGGAGATAGGACGCAGGGAGGAGGAAGGGAGGACGCGAGGAGGAGGGAGGGAGGATGTGGGGAGGAGGGAGTGAAGGGAGGATGCAGGGAGAAGGGAGGATTTGGGGAGGGAGGACGTGGGGAGGAGGGAAGGGAGGGAGATAGGACGCAGGGAGGAGGGAGGAAGAGCATGGGGAGGAGGGCAGCAGGACGCGAGGGGGGTAGCGAGAGAGGACACGAGGAGGAGGGAGGGAGGATGTGGGGAGGAGAGAGGGAAGGGAGGACGCAGGGAGGAGGGAGGGAGGATTCGGGAAGGGAGGACACAGGGAGGAGGGAGGAGGGAGTGAAGAGAGGACGCAGGAAGGAGGGAGGATTCGGGGAGGGAGGATGTAGGGAGGAGGGAGGGGAGGGAGATAGGACGCAGGGAGGAGGAAGGGAGGACGCGAGGAGGAGGGAGGGAGGATGTGGGGAGGAGGGAGTGAAGGGAGGATGCAGGGAGGAGGGAGGATTTGGGGAGGGAGGACGTGGGGAGGAGGGAAGGGAGGGAGATAGGACGCAGGGAGGAGGGAGGAAGAGCATGGGGAGGAGGGCAGCAGGACGCAAGGGGGTAGCGAGAGAGGACACGAGGAGGAGGGAGGGAGGATGCGGGGAGGAGGGAGGGAAGGGAGGACGCAGGGAGGAGGGAGGGAGGAGGGAGGGAGGACACAGGGAGGACGCAGGGAGGAGGGAGTGAAGGGAGGATGCAGTGAAGGGAGGAGGGAGGATTCGGGGAGGGAGGACGCAGGGAGGGAGGATTCGGGAAGGGAGGACACAGGGAGGAGGGAGGGAGGAGGGAGTGAAGAGAGGACGCAGGAAGGAGGAAGGATTCGGGGAGGGAGGATGTGGGGAGGAGGGAGGGGAGGGAGGCAGGACGCAGGGAGGAGGGAGGCAGGACGCGGGGAGGAGGGGCAAGGAGTCCGGCTGGGCCCGGCCCGTCCAGCGGGTGTGAGCTGCAGAGGCTCGCTCCTGAGCTGGGACAGGGCCCCGCTGCCCGGGAGGTCACTTCCCAACCTGCTCATCGGACAGCCACGGCCTGCACGGCCCGTAGTGCTGCCTGGGCGGGGCTGACGGCAGTGGCGGTCACTGCCGCTGGCCAGGCTGCACCCGGCCACGCTATCCAGCAGCACTGGCCCCCCTGGACGCTCAGAAGCAGTTTCTCTCCTCCCTGAGACCCTCCCAGACCCGGGGCGTCCTGGGGAAGCTCCGACATGGATTCTGCCCCTCCGAAGGGAGGGCCCGGAGTCCTCCAGAGCCCACAGCCTCCTCCGAGGGGCCTCGGTGCTCGTCCCTCTGGGCAGCGCTACGCATGGTGAGCTCTGCTGCCCTCTGGGACCACCTGTGGCCTGAGCCTACCTGGCTCTGCCTCTCGGACCCTCGCGCTTCCAGTCTCCACGTCCATCCAGGATCTGCCTTGCGTATCTGGTGCCCGCGCGGAGCTTCCTGTCCACTCGAAGTCTGATTTTCCCACCGCTCATGCCCGCTATGGAAATCAGAACTGAAGTCCATCTGAGACCAAGCCAGGCAGCGGGGCGGGGAGTGACCCCCGTCCAGGGCAGCAGAGCGGGAAGTGACCCCCATCCAGGGCAGCAGGGCAGGGAGTGACCCCCGTCCAGGCAGTCAGGCCCCATCATGAGGACCAGCCAGGCCGCACAGGCCCCTCCCTCCTCTCTTCCTCCTTCTCCAGACCCTGCATCTGTCCCCAGCGTCCCCCTCCATCTGCGCACGCCTGGGATCCCCGTGGGCTCCCATGAATCCTGGTCCCGGCGTCCACATTCCCCGAGTCACTGTCTGTGCCCGGATGTTACCTCTGGTCTGGAGGGTTCACCAACCCCCCACAGAGCCACTTCCCGGCAACGTCCAGCCGCGTTTCTGTGCCCACACGTGGGGGCATGGCCAGCGTCCAAGCACGGGCACTGCTCAGAGTGGACGGAGGCTCGTCCCCCCTTCTGGGTCCGCCATCCTGAAGCCCGGTCATGGGAGGGCCAGGAGTCTGGCACTCTCTGCAACCCGGAGCCCGGAAAGGGCTCTGCTCCACCGTGGGCGCCGGGCACTGCTTGGAGCCTCTGGGCTCTGGGACGGGCGGTGGAAGGACACGCTCTCCCTGCACCAGCTCCCACCCACCCACGTCCCTGCCCCGATGCCAGGACACGCCGTGGCCCAGCCCCCACGTCTCTCGCCCAGCAGCCTCACAGCCTCCGGCTGTCTCTCTATGTTCGCTCCTGCTGTGACTACTGACCGCTGACCATCAGCCCTTTGCCTGACCTGCCTGACTGCGTCCCCTGGAGCATATCCGTTCCCTCTTTGGGTTATGTCTGTCTGTAACTTTTGCTTAAGTTACGTAAGCAATTTTAGTGCAAACAATCAACGAGGTATTTTCCCCGCAGCTCCCAAAATTCTCTCTCCCCAGGGAGCTATCGGCACCGGTGGCTTCACTCCATCCTGGCTTCCCTGGGCCGCGACAGAATTCCAGAATTTCCAGCAGCTTTTGTACTTCCTGAAGGGAGTGGAGCACCTTCCCTGCCAGGGTGCCGTCACTCAGGCGCCTGGTAGAAGGGCCAGGTCTCGAGGAGCAAGGCTTCCTGCCGGCCCTCGGCCTCCGTGCCACCTTCTGGCCTCGGGTTCAGCCACACCTCTGGCTTGGGTTACTCCCGCTGCTCCGAGACTCTCCAAGCACGGGAAGGGAGGAGTTAGATATTTCCACTCCCAACGCCCTGAGCTTCTCCCTGGGAACCCTTGACCGTGGGCGGAAACCACTCAGGCCGGGAAGTCAAGCCAGGAGGCTCCAAGACGCGGCCGGGCAAGCCCACCTCTGCACCCAGGCCGCAACAAGAAGTGGCTGGAACCCCCACCCCCCAAAGTCGTTCAAAGGAGCCTCAGGGGCACACGGAATCCCTTCCGACAAAGGAGGACAAAGGAGACGCGAGGCGTGTGGTAAGGAGCGGGTTGCTCCCCGCGTGTGTGCAGAGGGTGACGCGGTGCTGAGCCGGTGTGACCGCCATTCCCGCGGGGATGTCAGGCACGGACTGTCCACCTTCCAGCTGTCCACTGGACGAGCTCCAGCTCATCTCCACGCACTCGGCCTGGCAGCCTCCCACTGTTCCAGGCAGCAGGCAGCTGTCCTCCCCACTGACCACACACTCCACAGAGACTTGGGGTCCCGGGCCACGGCACACAGGGGTGGGGTCCTCCCAGTCGGGCGCAGGCAGGGGCAGGTGCTGCAGGGAGCAGGGTCCCCCTCCCGCCACGCCCGCCTCTGCACCTCCGGCGACCCAGCAGTGGCCTTGGGTACCCCTGCTCCCTCCCCGAGCAACCCCCCAAACCTCAGCCCAGGCCTCTGGGCAGCTCAGCACAGGCCCAGAATATTCTCCCGTGAGGGACACGGTGACCCCGGGCTCGACGCCCCTTTGGGCCCCAACAGCCCCCACCACCAGTCAGGTCAAGGTGACGCCGCAGTGAACCCGCCTCTCGATGCCTGGGGACAAGCCTTGCTCACTCTCCATGCGGCAGTGAACCCGCCTCTCCACTCTGGAGGCCCGCCCCCAAGCCAGGCCAGCACCTACAGGCCCCCGGAGGCCACCCCCAAACACTCACCTTGTTGGGCCCCGGGTCCCCAGGCCTGCTGCCCTCGGGCACCGCCGCCTTGCTGTCCGCTCGAGGCCGCACCGCCTGGCGAGACGGGCTGCTGAGGGGGAAGCCGGTGACGCTGACGCCATCTGCGGGAGGAAGGGGCAGGGGAGGGCGGGTGAGGGGCTTGGATGCTCACGCACGCCCGGGGAACTCCACACTCGCTGTTCCTCCAGGCCTGGATAGAGAAGAGACAGGAGACTGCACGCACACACACGTACATGCACACATGTACATGTACACACACACGGACACATGCACACACGCACAAGCACACATGCACACAAGCACACGCAAACATGCACAAGCTTGCACACACGTACACACACACTAACACATCACAACCATGCACTCACATGCATGCACATGCAGACACGTACACATGCGCACACCCACACACACACGCACGCACACACACACACACACACACACGCACGCACACATGCATTCATGCGTCTGCTCATGCGCTTGTCCAATCACTAGTCCAGTCACCAGCACACTCATGGGGTCACTCGGGCCCCAGGCCCAGCAACAGTTCACGGGGTGCCTTGATCCACCCTTCATCCATCATCTGCTCTGTCCCTCCCTCCCTTCCCTCCTCCCTCTGGGTGCGGGTGACCCCCATGGGCCCACCCTCACCTGGAGACGGGCGGGCGGGAACACAGGCTCCTTCTGGGGCCACTCACTGCCCGGGGCCCCTTTCTCTGTCCACCACCCGGCCCCTCGAGAACCCACAGCTGCCCTCCCATGCCACATGTCACCCTCTCTGTCACCATCGCCCACAGCAGCCAGTCACCCCAGGGACACGCAGATCAGCGCCTGGGCCCCAGGAAACCTTCACCCGGCCCGACAGTTCGGGGAAGGACCCGGAGTCTCGCTTCCTACCTAAGCAGCTCTTGGGCACGGTGGCCTCAGGCTCCATGGACGAGGCCCCTCATGTGAGCCCCTCCCAGCCGCTCCTGAGCTCAGGAAGTGAACCCCACAATTTCTGTTCCCTGGATGAGTCTGGGCCCCATTTCACTCCAGACAGGTTGGCACCAGCTCATTTCTCCACTCCAGGACGGAGCCCGGATTCACATCCGTGCTCCGGGTCACCCGCAGCCCATGGGCCTCACAAATCACAGGCCAGAGGAGACAGGCCTGCCAGCGACAGCCGCTGGGGATGACTCCCAGCTAACTCGAGTCGCTTAACTGCGCTTTAATTGCCTTCAAGAGCATAAAGACAGAAGCTCTTTCAAGAGGCTGGAAACCGCTCACCAACCAGCTGGCAACAGCCTGGACCTCCAAGGGGGCTGCACAGGAAGGCAGGGGTGTAAGCGGGGTCTAGGGGACGGGTCACCTGAGAGGTAGCACTCAGCGGGCGCGGGAGGGAAGGTGGCAGTGGAGGGGAGCCGGGCACCATGCGAGCAGAAGGGCTCAGCTCTGAGTTGACCCTCTGCTGAGCAGCAGCGAGCTCCTCCCCAGGGGGACGGAAGCCAAACACACCCGACCGTGATGGGCTGTGAACTGAGGGGAGGTGTGTGGACGGGCGGGAGGGAGGACAGACAGTGAACCGACGGTGGGTGGATGGTCGGTGGGTGTGTGGATGGTGGGCCGTAGAGGGATGATGGGTGGATGGACGGTGGTTCTGGCGCCCCACAACCAGCCCAATCTGAAAAGAACTAAAATGAACCCTGAAGATCCTTTTCTGAAACAGCAGGCTGGACAGTCCAGGACCCAGCCCGAGCCCTCCGAGTGCCCATAGGGGTTCACAGCCGCCCTGAGGGCCTGGGCAGGCTGCAGCAACGCAGTGAGTGACCACAGGGCCATGGTGCAAGCACTGGAAGCCCCGTGGAACCCATGGACGACAGGAGAGAGGGACAAGAAGGAAGTAGCCCAGACACGTCCTGGGACACGACGGCCTCAGTATCCCCTCTCCTGCCTGGCAGGCCCCTGACCACCTGGGTCTGTCCGTCCAAGGCCACCACGTTCCTTTCCTTCCAATTGTTCGGGGGCTCTGCCTCGGGGCTCTGCGTCCCAGAGACCCTTGTCCACAGTCGGGAGCCTGGGCAGCGGGGCGGGGCAGGGCAGGCGGGGCTGGGGAGAAATGGGGAGGGGTGGGGTAGGCAGGGCGGGGCGGGATGGGGCGGGGCAGGAAGGGACAGGGCGGGGCAGGTGGGGTGGGACAAGATGGGGCGAGGCGGGCAGGGCAGGATGGGCGGGGCGGGGCAGGATGGGGCGGGGCGGGGCAAGATGGGGCGGGGCGGGGCAGGATGGGGCGGGGCGGGGCAGGACGGGGCGGGGCGGAGCAGGATGGGGCGGGGCGGGGCAGGATGGGGCGGGGCGGGGCGGGGCAAGATGGGGCGGGGCGGGGCAAGATGGGGCGGGGCGGAGCAGGATGGGGTGGGGCGGGGCAAGATGGGGCGGGGCGGGGCAAGATGGGGTGGGGCGGGGCAAGATGGGGCGGGGTGGGGCAAGATGGGGCAGGGCAGGGCAAGATGGGGCGGGGGCAGGATGGGACTGGGCAGTACAGGATGGGCGGGGCGGGACAGGATGAGGCGGGGCGGAGCTGGATGGGGCGGGGCAGGGCAGGATGGGGCGGGGCGGAGCAGGATGGGGCGGGGCGGGGCAAGATGGGGCGGGGCTGGGCAGGATGGGGCGGGGCAGGATGGGATTGGGCAGAACAGGATGGGCGGGGCGGGATGGGGCGGGGCAAGATGGGGCAGGATGGGATTGGGCAGAACAGGATGGGCAGGGCGGGATGGGGCGGGGCAAGATGGGGCGGGGCGGGGCAGGATGGGATTGGGCAGAACAGGATGGGCGGGGCAAGATGGGGCGGGGCGGGGCAGGATGGGATTGGGCAGAACAGGATGGGCGGGGCGGGATGGGGCGGGGCAAGATGGGGCGGGGCAGGATGGGGCGGGGCAGGATGGGACTGGGCAGTACAGGATGGGCGGGGCGGGGCAGGATGGGGCAGAGCGGGACAGGATGGGGCGGGGCGGGGCAGGATGGGGCGGGGCAGGGCAGGATGGGGCGGGGCGGGCCAGAACCTCCCTCTTTTTTTTTTTTTTTTTTTTTTTTTTTAGAACCTCCCTCTTGGCTCAAGGCTTTACCCAGGGAAACTGAGCCGAGACCCCAAATGAGTGCAGGGCCTTTCCCAGAAGCAGCGAGGCCACGCGTGGGAGCCTGTGCGCCATCCGGGCAGCTAAAGTCGTGGTTCCCACGCGTGGCCCTGAGCCCCACCCACTCCTGAGGAGAAGGCGCCACCCTGCACCACGGGGCCACAGACTGGGCCAGGTGCCTCAAGACACGGAGGTCACGTGCTGCTGGAGGCCCCCGAGCGACAAAAGGGCACCCGGGCAGTGGCAGCCGCCGCTGGTCCTCAGAATTCCCCCGTCTGTGTAGACAGATTCGCAAACCCAGCCGGAGCACTGTGGACAAAGCGCCCAGGGAGCAGCACCATGGACGCGGGTAGTGGGTCACGGTGAGTGGGCAGGCCAAGCTCAGCTCCCTGCCCCCACTCAGCCACCCACCCCTGCCTCGGGAGAGCAGGGACAAGGCTCCGGGCTCTGCAACAGGAGCAGGGGCGCGGGCCAGGCTGCTCGGCTGGGCAAGGCCCAGGTGCGGGCCAGCCCTAAGCAAGGGTCCCCTGCACGGCCGGGCCGGGAGCAGCCGAGGACAAAAGGCAGAAAATGGACCCCTGGCACTGGCGGCCGTCTGCAAGGCTGACCTGCCCGAGTGCCCACCCCCCACCGCCCCGTCTCTCCTGACCAGTCAAGGATGTGGGCATAGCATAGCCCGGGAACGCAGCACAGTGCTCACCATCACTCAGGTCCTGGAGAAGGCTCTCCTGGCAGGAGAAGTCCAGCTTGGCGTGGATGTTGACCGTGAGTGTGGCCACCTCACCAGGCTGCAGGGGGAACTGGGCCAGCGTCTCTTCCAGCCTCCAGCTCAGGAGGGGCCCCGACAGCTTCTCTGCAACGACAGACCTGGGGCGTCGGCATGGGCACGGAGTCACGGGACCCGGCAAGTGTCCATGTTGCCGTGCCCCAGGCAGCCCTGGAGGGAGTGCCAGCACACCCCCCAAAGACGAGGGTCGGGACAGGCGTCCGCATGGTGGGCCCCAGGGGGCCCTTTCCCACCTCCCCCAGACCCAGGGCCCAGCAGGGTGGCCGCAGGGTCAGGGGTCGGGGCAGCATTGGCCTTCAGCTCTGCCTCCCAGGCCCAGCAGGGCCCTCATCCACTCAGGTCAGAGGGACAGTCCCTGTCCCCAAGCTCAGCCCAGATCAGGGCTCGGTTAGGGTTCAGCCTTGGGTTAGGGTCCCAATGGGTGGAGCCTCAGGTTAGAGTTGGGGATTAGAATCTGGGTTAGGAGTCAGTGTCGGGTTATAGCTGTGGGTTAAGGTTTGGGTTCAGGTTAGGGGTTAGGGCTTACTGGTTAGGGTTAGGGTTGGGGGTCAGGACTGGGGGTTAGGGCTTACCGGTTAGGATTAGGGGTGGGGTCAGGTTAGGGGTCATGGTCAGGGCTGGGGTGTTAGGGTTCAGGTTAGGGTCGAAGAGAGGCTGGAGCTGTCTGGGCCTCAACTGGGCTGTGGCACCAGTTACGTCCAGCCCGTGTCCCTGGGTGACAACACCCAGGCCAGGCCACCAGACACGCCCAAGGCCAAGGCCTGGAGACAAGACTGGGCTGCACGCCTGCCTGGCACAGTTATCAGGGTTCGATCCCTGGCACCCCACATGGTCCCGAGCCCAGCAGGAGTGACCCCTGAGCACAGCGCCTGGAGTAAGCTCCGAGCACTGGTGGGTATGGCCCCAAAGTCACGAACACACACCAAGTAAAGCCCAACTCAACCAGAGTCCACTCAGGTCAGGGACTCCTCCGTTCTGCGCCCCACCTTCCCCTGCGAACTGCCCAGTGCAAGCTAAGTGCCAGGAACACCTGTGGCTTAGAGAAAAGTGCTCGTCCCGGGGACACAGCTCTGAGCCCAAGAGGCTAAGAGCAGGGTTGGGGCAGGGTCTGAGGGTCCCAGTGGGCACCATGCTGATGGCCACCTGCTCCTGCGGTTGGTCACCTCAATCCAACGGGATGGGCTACAACCAAGTTGCGCGCTTCTGGGCGGGACCCTGGGCCAGCCACTCCCGGGCGCCCCGCAGGGCAGAGGGAGCAGGTCTGGGCCTTGCAGAGCGGGGGTCTCTCCCACAGGGCCGGGGCTGCATGCCTGGTGGGGAGGGGCGAGCCCCACCAGGCCGGACTCTGGTCAGACACCCACACCTCTGGGCCATCATCCAGCTTGGTCAGCCACGTGCTTCTAGGATGGCGCAGCCCGAGCCCTAGCATCGGGGACGGAGCCGGCCGGCCAAGCCGCGGACCCACCTTTGGTGCTGAGGAGTTTGGAGGTGACCTCCAGCGTCTCCAGCGGCTGCACACCGATGTTCTCCAGCCTGACGACCAGCTCCTGCGTCTCCCCGTTGAACAGCTGCACAGACACGTTGGCGGTCACCTCGTCCCCCGCGGGCGGCTGCAGGGCGTGCGCAGACCTGACAGCGGCAGCACGGTGAGCGGCATGGGGGGCGGGCACCGGGCCACACCCTCTGGCCCTGACCCCCAGCAGGAGTCCCCACCTGGGCAGCGACGTGCTGATCTGCAGCCTGGCCAGGGCGGGGATGACCTCCACGGAGGAGCCACTGCTCTTCAGTCCCGGCAGATTCTCCAGCAGACAGTCGCTGAAGACGCCAAAGACCGTGGTGTGGTAGCCTGCGAGATGCGGCGAGAGTCGCGGTGCCCGCGGGCCTGGGCCCACCCAGCTAAAGGAAAGGCCTCGTGGGCCCGGGGCCTGGCGGGCCGTGTGGGAGATGCCCCAGGGCTGAGCACAGGTGGCAGAAGCTAGAGTCCATTCCCGACACTGCACAGTCTCCTGAGCACTGAGCCAGGAGGAGCTGGGCAGAGCCCCCTCTTCCCAGTGCACCCACACTCATCCCCTGGCCTGCCCAGGAGAGCAAAGAGGAGAGATGAGAGCCGGGCAGTGACCGGGACTGGGCTGGAACTGCGGCTGGCCAATCCTCTGCGCAAAAATAAATATAAGTAGGGGCTGGAGCAATAGCACAGCGGGGAGGGCGTTTGCCTTGCATGCAGCCAACATGGCCGACCCAGGTTCGATTCCCAGCACCCCATATGGTCCCCCGAGCACCGCCAGGAGTAATTCCTGAGTGCATGAGCCAGGAGGAATCCCTGAGCATCGCTGGGTGTGACCCAAAAAGCAAAAAAAAAAATTTAAAAAAATAAATAAACACAAGTAGAGGCCAGAGCAATAGTAGAGCGGGTGGGGCATTCGTTTGCCTTGCAGGCAGCAGACCCGGGTTCGATCCCCGGCATCCCATAGGGTCCCGTGAATACCACCAGGAGTAATTACTAAGTGCAGAGCCAGGAGGAAGCCCTGAGCATCGCCGGGTGTGACCCATAAAGAAAAAAAAATCAAATCAAATGAATAAGTAAACACAAGTATATAAAAACCACTTGGCAGTCAAGGGCACTTGGAACCGTTTGGCAGCACAGGGAAAAGGCTTTCAGAATCCGAGAGAGCCACTGTGGAAAGAGGCCTCCCACCCTGCAGGGGGCCAGCGACCATGGCACATGGCACAGTGGGCTCAGGCCTCCCTCTCCCGGGCACACAGGTCTGACCCCTATAGGTCTCCCAAGCCTGCCACGAGTCATCCCCGAGCACAGAGTCGGGAGTAAGTCCTGAGCACAGAGCCAGAAGCCATCCCCGAGCACAGAACCGGGAGTGAGCCCAGAGCACAGAGCCGGGAGAGAGCCCCGAGCACTGCTAGGTGTGGATCAAAAACCAAAAGTGGGATGGGGGACACAGGTGCCACCTGAACACAGCACTTTGGAGCAAGTGAGGACCAAGTAGGAAAAAGTGAGCTGGCAGCCCTGAGCTGCCCTGAGAAGCCCCTGAGGGGGTAGGGGATGGGGCGGGGAGGGGTCAGGAGAGCCAGCCCAGGGGGAAAGTGAGCTCAGAGGGGGCCTAGCTGGGTGGGAGATGGGGCAGACATGCAGCAGGAAACACAGTTGAAGAAGACATCCTGGGGCATGCAGCTAGCCTGCCGGTCCATTCCAGAAGGTTCCACGCACAGCCCCTGCCTACCCAGGGAGGTGCAGAGAAGACAGGGAGCGGGGGTGGAGGCTGACCGTTCACAGTGATGGTCCCGGTGGTCTGGGGGACTCCGACGAGCGTCACTGGGTAGAGGCCGGACTCGGCAGGCAGGGACAGAGCCGCAGGCAGCGACTCAAACTCCACACCGCTAGTCAGCAGGCCCTGCACAGGGCGGTAGGCGTGAGGCACACCGAGACAGGCGAGACCACCCCAGCTGGGCCCCCTCCCCAAGGGCAGCTCGCTGGCCAGGAGCCCAGAGGAGGGACGCTGCAGGGCGTGGGGCCCCCAAGGCACTCAGCGTGGCCAGCACGGCCACCAGTGTCCCGGTTCTGTGCCTGCAGGGGTTGCCCATGGGTCCATCTCTGAGGCAGGGCAGGGCAGCGCCGGCCCGGCGGGCACGCACCATGTTCTCCACTCGGAGCTCAAACGGCATGGGGTTGTGGACCATCAGCTGCACCTCGCACACATCGCCCTGGACCCACTGGAAGTCTGGAAAAGCACAGAGCAGGGGAGAAAGGGCTGGGCGGGGCTAGGCAGATAGATGGGGCGGGGCTAGGCGAGTGGGGCGGGGCCAGGGGTGGGCGTGGCCAAGGAGGGGCGGGGCCGATGTCAGCAATCAGTGGTCAGCAGGCCTCCCACCGAGCACGGGGCTGAGGGCCACAGGCTGGGGCAAGCGTGGGTGGGGGTAGGGGGCACATGCGGAGGGCAGGGCGTGGAGGCCACGGAGCATGGGGAGAGGGCACCTGCTGGCGCTGTAGAGAAGAGAGGAGCAGAGTCTCCAGGGGTCCTGCCAGCCCCTGCCCTGCAGACCACACTCCCCAGGGCCCCAGGAGGAACTGCAGGTGCCCAGGGGGGTGTCGAGGACGCCCTGAGTCAGTCCTGAGTCAGAGCCACGTTCCCAACGCATCACCCCAACACAGGTGAGCACAATGCTCGGGGAATGACCGTGACACTCATTGCCAGTCCCCTGGCACGTCCCGGGCACCTCAGAGTGACTCTACCCTGCCATCAGCCCCCTGGGTGTCTGTGGAACCCTCTGTCCTGGCTTCGTCGGGCTTCCAAAACTCCCACCGAGTCCCTTTTGGGAACCTGTGTTTAGAGAGTCAGCCCGCGCCACGGGAGCTGTGGGCTGGAGAGAGACTGGACGCCGGAGCTGCGCCCATGGCAGACCTGGGGACACGGGCAGGCACCAGGGCTGTGGGCGCACAGTGGGGGCGCGGTCGGGCACGGGACCGGGGAACAGCAGGGCGGGGGGCACAGGGGGCCGCGCAGGACGGTCATACCGATCTTCTTGCTGCGCTCCTCGCCGCGGCTGTGGGCGGTGATGGGTGAGTAGATGAAGGGGCTCTTGCTGCTGACGCCGGGGCCCAGCAGGCTCTTCACCTTCTGGGGCCGCAGGCTGGCCGGGAGGCTCAGCAGTTTCACGCACCTGCAGTTCGGAAGGGACAGAGGGACACTGGCTGGCGCACTCAAAATCACTCACGGCCCCGAGCACGGGACAGGCCTCAAGAGCACCGCGGCCCGGGACCGAGTTGGCTGGCTACACTGGGCAGGACCGACGCGGGAGGCCCCCAGGCTGCAGGAGCCAGGCAGGTCAGGCCATCCCCGACAGTCCAGGAGCAACACAGGACTGACAGCATCGGGGGCCACTGGGGTGCTGCAGAGGCACAGGCGGCTGGGCAGGCCGCTCCCCCATGCCACGCCCACACCGCGTAAATGCCACACCCACACTGCACCCTGCCAAACGCACCCCCTCCAACATCATCTCACCACCGGCCCTGCGGAAGGTCCAGCTTCTCCTGCTAGAGATGCGGGCAGGCGAGAACCAGGCCACAGGGGCCGGCGGGCACTGGGAAGCCCAGCGCCTTCCACAGACAAGCTGGCCCATGAGCATGGCCCCAGGCCTGGTGGCCCAGCCGTCCAAGGGCCCTGGAGCCCCAGTGTGAGCACCCCAGGGTGAGCTGCTGCTCCCACTCACGTCCCTCCTACCCTCCGCCTCTGATGCCCCGTAGGGGACAAGGGCAGCGCTGGGCCCTCGGGTCACGCTGCCTCAGCTGTGCCTTCGGCTGGCACTGACCCAGGGGCGATGTGCCGCCCGACTACTCCCTCGGGAAAGGGAGAGAAGGTTCCGGAGGGCGCCGTGCTGGGGGCGGCTCACCTGACGATGGGCAGCTTGGTGAAGGGCACAGGGGGCAGGGTGAGGCCGTCTGGGAGCGGGATGGGGTCCATGGTGCCCGGACACTTGGACGTGTAGCTCTCCAGGCTCTGGGTCACGTCCTTCTTCTCTGGAGTGCGAAGATGAAGGTGACAGATGTGAGGCAGAGGGAAGGGGGGGACACGGGGGACACGGGGACACCCTCTCCCAGTGCACAGCCTGGACGGCCGCTGAGCAAGAACACATGGGGCCTCATGACCCCCGATGCAAGTAGACAGCGGGTGGCACTCTTTGCGCCCAGCTGGCCGGGGCTGTCGCTGGTGGTGCCCTCCTCCCCTCCTCCCCTCCTCCCAACCCTCCTCCCTGTCCCCTCCCTGTCCCCTCCTGCCTCCTCCCTTCCCCTCCCTTCTCCCCTCCAGGTCCTGGCTGAGGGGGGCAGCAGGAAGGGCCCCAGCTGGCCCGGACCGTTGCCCTGCTCTGGGGGACGCGACCCTCCCGCCAGTGTGGGGCTGTGGGGTCGTGAGTGGGAGCAGCGCTTCCCGGGCACCCCCCTCCGCCACGCCCGTGTGGCCACTCACCCTGGTCGGACAGGAAGTCCAGCATGGTCTGCAGCAGGAAGCAGAGGTGCCGCACGGCCAGCGCGGGGTCGCCCATGCGCCGGGACGCGTAGACCAGCTCGTGCAGGAGCCGCATCTGCACGGCCGCCCAGCCGCGGTGCGCGCCTGCGGACACGCGCGTCAGAGCGGGATGGGCAGCCCCACCCCCAGGGGCCCAGGGCATCGCCCGGAGCACCCGAGCCGAGCCCCGCCCGCAGCGCCCGGCCCACCTCGGCTGAAGTCCTGGGGGTCCAGCGACAGGCTGTACCCGGGCAGCGTCTCCAGCAGCAGCTTGTAGCAGACGCGCCAGCCGGGCTCGGCGATGCTGGGGGCCACGCACTGCATGGCGGCCACGCGCTTGAAGAAGGCCGACTTGCGGCGGAAGCCGATGAGCTCGTACAGCTCCGCCAGGATGCTGTAGCGCTGGATCTTCTCCTCCTCCGACAGCTGCGGGGACGGCGGGGTCGGCGGGGACAGCGGGGTCGGCGGGGACAGAGGGGTCGGCGGGGTCAGCGGGGACAGCGGGGTCAACAGGGACATTAGGGTCAGCGGGGACAGCGGGGACAGTGGGGTCAACAGGGACATTAGCAGGGTCAGCGGGGACAGCGGGGTCAACAGGGACATTAGGGTCAGCGGGGACAGCGGGGACGGCGGGGTCAACAGGGACATTAGCGGGGACAGCGGGGTCGGCAGGGACAGAGGGGACAGCGGGGTCAGCGGGGACAGCGGGGTCAACAGGGACATTAGGGTCAGCGGGGACAGCAGGGTCAACAGGGACATTAGGGTCAGCGGGGACAGCAGGGACGGCGGGGTCAACAGGGACATTAGGGTCAGCGGGGACAGCGGGGTCAGCGTGGACAGTGGGGTCAACAGGGACATTAGGGTCAGCGGGGACAGCGGGGACAGCGGGTTCGGCAGGGACAGAGGGGTCAGCGGGGTCAGAGGGGACAGCGGGGTCAGAGGGGTCAGCGGGGTCAGAGAGGTCAGCGGGGACAGTGGGGTGGGCGGGGGACAGGACTCAGCAATATGGGGGGGTCGGTCGGCTTTCTCGGGGTGCAGGGACGCGGGGGGCTCAGCGAAGACTTGGGGGGAGCAGGGCCTGCGCTGCCCCCAGTGGGCAGAACCTGGCCATGAACTTCCCAACAGAAGACGAGCCTATGGCCCGGGCAGCCCCGGTGGGGCAGCAGGCGCTCCTCGGCAGACGGGAGGAGGGAGGACGGGGCGCTGGGCCCCCACCTGCCACGGGGTGGGACGGCGCGGGGCACCCACCTGGCGCAGGTTGATGTAGACGGCGTTCTGCAGGAACTCAGACGCCTCCATGCTGCGCTTCTGAACGGCCAGGACGCGCACGGCCTTCACGCAGGCCTCCAGCTCGATGACACCCGCATTCTTGTACTGCAGCACAGGGGACACTGCGTCCGAGACGAGCCGGGCACAGGGCCCTCGTCGGTCCCAGGGACAGCTGCCGCGGAGGCCACACCGGCAGTGCCCACCCCGAGCCGGGAGCCCTGCCCGCAGCGAGCTCTCCAAGGGGCCCGAGCCCACCCCATGCAGGGGCTCCAGGCCCGGCCTCCCTCCCCGCCCATCTCCTGCCTCCGGGCACTCTTCCTCTACCCCAAGGCCTCGGCTCCTGTTCCTGAACCCAGCCCTGACCCAGAAGGAAGGTCGCGAGGCAGGACGGGGTCGAGCCGAGCCCCGAGAGCTGCGGCCGGGCAGGCGGGGCTGCCTGTGCTGGGCTGGAGACCCCCGGGAACCATCTCAGGGCCCTCAGGGTGGGGGCAGGCACAGGGCCCGGGACATGGGACTGTAACCCTCCCCTCCAAGGTGGTGCCCACAGCCACCGTGCCCAGCTCTGCCGACCCTGCAGCGCCAGCCAAAGAGCTAAGGCAGGGGCCAGAGAGCAGGACAGTGGGGAGGGCGCTGACCCGGCTCCATCCCACACGGGTCCCCAAGCCCAAGGAGTGAGCCCTGGGCATCGCCGAGGGTGGCCTGAAGAAAAACAGCTTGCACAGAGAATCGATTCCAGGGGGATAAGGTCATTTCTTTCCCTTAAAAATCTGAAAACAGAGGGCTGGAGCGATAGCACAGCGGGTAGGGTGTTTGCCTTGCACACGGCCGACCCGGGTTCGATTCCCAGCATCCCATATGGTCCCCTAAGCACCACCAGGAGTAACTGCTGAGTGCAGAGCCAGGAGTAACCCCTGTGCATCGCCAGGTGTGATGCAAAAAAAGCCAAAAAAAAAAATCTGAAAACAGAAAAGCACACGATGGAGGGCCGGGTGCTGGCATGTCGCATGACTGGAATCCACCAGGACGGCGTGTTCCCGCGAATCTCACAGCGACCCAACAAACGGTTCTGCCAGCGGCTGCGAGCAAGTTTACTCTCGAAATGTTCTGGCCGAACCCACATACTGCGCCTATATCTTTCTCTAAGGCCCGTGCTCGAGAGGTGCTCCCAGCTCAGTGCTCGGTGATCAGCCACGCACAGCAAGCGCCTGAACCCCTATGCACGCTGCACCCCGCACACTCAGCATCATGTGAAACCCTGCCACGGTCTTCACGTGGGCACTCAGTCCTCTGGCTGGGGCAGGGAGGACACGCGTACTTCTGGGCTGGGAAGGACACGCAAGGACACATGTGATCCCGGGCCAGGAAGGTCACGCATGTTCCTGCGCCTGAGAGGACATGCATGCTCCTGGGCCGGGAAGGACACGCGTGTTCGTGGGCTGGGGAGGACACACCTGCTCCTGGAAAAGGGAGAACACGCACGCTCCTGTGCTGGGGAGGACATGCATGCTATGTGAACAGGAAGGACACATGCACCCCGTGGAAAGGACGAGAATCACTAAACACACAGCATGTGCCCTGGATGTGGGGCTGCCCCGGCCCCGGAATCTCCAGAGAGCCCCCGGCAGGCGACCCTATGGGGTTCCGAGGGCGGCCAATCGTGTAAGGCGAGCGCCCTCCACACTGTGCAGTCTCTTGGCCCCTCCCACCTGACTGTTTTGTTTGGGGGCCACACCCGGCGATGGTCAGGGCTGACTCCTGGCTCTGCACTCAGGGGTCACTTCTGGTGGGCTCGGGGGAAGTGTGGGGTGCTGGGGATCAAACCCGGCTTGGTAGCGTGCAAGGCAAGCCCCCTCCCCTCTATACTTTCGCTCCGGCCCCTCCAGTCTGATTTTTAACACACTTCAGGACTCCCCAGGGGTAGACGAGGCAGAATCAGAACGCCAGTTAAGAAAACGGGGGCCGGGCGCATATGCTGCCTGAGCACATGTGTCGCCCGCATCTCCCCTCTTCAGATGTGTACCTTCGTGTTTTCATGTCTCCTGCTAGGATGTGTGTAGGGGCTCTCTCTGCCCTTGGAGAAGCCCGGGCTCCCTTTTGGGTAGGTTAGGGGGAGGCGGGGTCCCAGCCCCATTCAATGCCTCCGATGCATCATGGGACTAAACGAAGCCGACGACCACCCGAGTCAGGGCAGCCAACTCCCGCGAAGCCCTGGCCCAAACGCGGGCCCCGAGTCTCAGGCGCTGCGTCCGCGGAGGCGCCCCTCACCTTGCTGTAGTACGAGATGGCCTCCTTGTACTTGTCGATGATGTCCTCCGGCCCCAGGCAGTTCTTGGCGCGCCCGATCTCGGTGCTGGTGTCGGCGTTGATGCCATTGGTGGTGAGGGCGCCTGGAAGCGGGAGAGAGGGGCTGTGGGCCGCGGTGCCCATGCTTCTGGGTGAGAGGGACACGCGGGGGCAGGGGGATGAGTCTGGTTTCGGACGCCCCAGAACAGCTCCTGAGCAGAGCACAACCCGGAGACAGGAACTCGGGCGGGCCGCGGGGGCAGAGGGGTCTGCAGCCGGCCTCAGGGCGAGCCACACACCACCTGCTCCCCATCCCCGACACAGCCCGGCACAGCCACACCTCGCACTAAGGCCAAACCCGAGACTCATGGCACAGAGTCACGTGGGCATCAATCCCGGGCGTCAATCCCGTTGGTCCACCCCCCAACACACACACACACACACACACACACACACACACACACACACACACACACGCACACACACGCACACTCAAACACTCTCCCACCTGGCCATAGCCCCCGCCAGCACCCCTGAGGGGACTCACTCCCCACAACCGGCCCTGCCCACTTGCTCTCTGGAACAGGACAGACGGAGGATCAGACAGGGAAGTAGATGGACAGATGGCCAGCCAGCCAGAACCATGGAGACTCGAGCCCAGGAACAGACGGCTTCAGGTGGGGTCTCAGCCCACCCCACCCCGGATTTTCTGAGGGTCACCGAGACACGTGGCAGGAACGGCCTGTGGTCAGGGGCAGCAGCAGCCCAGCAGGACACACACCGACTCGGGGCCACATGGAAGTGGCAGGAGAGAGTGGACACCCCAGGGTGCCCCGACAGCCTGGCCAGAGCCGCGTATCCTGCACACGGAGAGAGAAGGAGAGCCCTGCCCCAGCGCCCCATCCTGCAGACGGGCAGTGTCCCTGGGGCCCATGGGGTGGGCAGCCCAGCCTCTTAGCAAACCATCGGCTCTGCTAGGCCAGCACCATGCAGGGCTGCACTGAGGGGTCCCAGAAGCCCCCAGCCCTGGGAAGAGGCCAGTGCCTGCCCAGCGCCATAAGCTGATGATGCAGAGAAACATCACCACTGACTAGGGAGGCTCTGGGCTGGAGGAAGTTTAAGGAGCCGCCGGCGGGACAGACAGGCGTTACTGCAGGCTGGGTAGGGACATGAGTGGGCACGAGACACACAGGGGCACTGGCCACAGCGCTGGACATGGAGTAGGGCCGGGATGCACATGCTGGCTGCTGGGGCCAGTGGAGGACAGGAGAAGGGCCCGGAGCAGCCGGGGCAGCAAAGAGCCATGGGGCCAGGGTTTCAAGGGCCACCCAGATGCCAGGGGGCTCCCGCGGCCCGACGCAGTGAGGCATAGCCCAAGGGTCAGCAGACACAGGCGAAGGCACATGCGGCCGAGAGGGAGCACAGTCATGCTGAGAGGGAGCACAACCGAGCTAGGGGAAGCCCCAGGGGGTGCAGGGGAGACAGATACAAGCCCAGCATGGAGGGGGTATGTGGGAGGGTCCCCAAAAAGCAGGGACTCACCGTGCCAGCCAGCACCACAACAGGCCACGAGGCCACGGAACCCAGTGACACCGTGAGAGAAACGAGCTCTGGCTTGCGGGGCGGGTCTCTGAGCCAGTACATGAGGGGAGACAGCCCATGTGGGAGCCCGGGCTCTCCGTCCCCCACCCCCACCTCCCAGCATGGCAGAACTAATGAGACAACTGGAGGCCAGGCATGGGCCGGGTCTGTGGGCTGGGTCATCCCTGCGCTCAGAGTCCCCGCATCATGCAGACGTGGCCCGTCGAAAATGCCCAGCCTCACCCTGACAGGCAACATGTCTGCTGGCACCCAGAGCGGGCAGAGGTGCAGAGCCTGACGGGATAGGCCTTGGTGGGGCCGCGGACAAACCCCAACGGGTCACACGTAGTGCCTTCTGGGTGGTTCCGCTGGGCCCAGGGTCCTGCCACAGCTGGGCCGCACCCAGCCCCGCCCGCATCTGCGGCCGGAGTCCAGGTGTGGGAGCGAGCCCTCGCGGGGGCGGGCAGACACCCAGCCTTGCACAGACACAGCTGTGCGGACACAGAGGCTGTGGGCACGTCCTGGGGACAGCCTGTGTGCTTGTCTGGGCTTGCGTGTGCATCTACGTGCACGTCTGTATGTGCGTCTGTGTGTGCGTCTGCGTGTGCGTCTGCAAGGCGTAAGGGCAGGTCTTTGTCCTCCCCGGCGGGAGGCGTGTGCATCTGCGGGACCTGTCTGGAGCAAGGAAAGAACCGAGGGCCCAAGGGGGCGGGCGGGTGCTGGCCTCTGCATGGGCAGGAGAAAGGGCACTTCTGCTCGTTCTCAGTAGCAACAAACGCAGCAGAGAGCAAGCAAGGGGGCACGGGCTGGGCCCCTCGAGGCCACCCCTGGCAGGAGCCGCGTCCTCCTCCTCCTCCTCCTCCAGGCCTCCAGCACCTTTATCGGCCCTTTCTCAGAAGCTGCACCAGCCCTGAAGGCCCAGCAGCACCAGATAATGGCATTAGGCCAGCAGCCCCAGACCCCCGACACAGCCGAGTCACACTGAGGAGCGGCCCGAGCACTGAGAATAGAGCCCCAGACAGAAGTACGGACGGCCGAGCTCCATGCACTGCTCCTGTTGGGGAGAGAGACGAGGATTCCAGAGGGGCTTTCAGCCCTTACAGGAGGGAGAGAGGAGAGACAGGCTGATAATCGCAGGGCTCACAGCTCTTGCTAGCAAGAAAAAAAAAAAACAACAGGGACCGAGAAAACAGAGGGGGAGGGTACCTGCCTGGCACGCACTTGAGCAGGGTTTAATCCCCGGCACCCCAGAGGGTGCCCTGGGCACTGCCAGGGGTGAATTCTGAGTGCAGAGCTATGGGTAAGCCCGAGCATTGCCAGGTATGACCCAAAAAGCCCCCCTCCCCCGAAAAAAAAAGCTGCTTCCGGTGTGTATCTGCAGTGAGCAGTGAATCTGGGAGTCATGGTGTGGACAGCGGGAGGAGACCCTGGAGCTCCAGGGTCATTCCCCAGCAGCTGGAGAGAGCTGGACGGCTGAGTGCAGGCGCTGGGGCCAGAGGCACCGCGTGGTCCCCCAGAACCTCTGGGAGTGAGCCCGGACATGGCAGGCAGTGTTCCCCAAATCAAAACCACAAAAGCACCAGGAGTAACCGCTGACGACCACCGGGGCAGGGCAGGGGGTGCAGTTCCAGGACGGGGAGTCAGTGTCCTGGGGAGGGGCAGGCTGACACGGCCTGAACCCGCCTCTGCCCCCAGCAAGAGCAGGGCCCCCCTGTGAGACACTCACAAACGGCATCACACAAGGCCCGCACAGGCTGAGAAACTCCGGGGCACGATGGGCCAGACCCGGCTTATGTGGGGTGACTGACATGAGGGGTCCCACCCACGGAGCGAAGGGGATGATCCACACCCACGCGCCATGGCACCTGCAGACCGCGCGGAGTCACAGGGGTCTGCACGCAATGCTCCAATGGCCCCAGGAACACTCGGGCCGTGGTTGCAAGAGGAAGCCCCCTGCTCGTCCGGACGAGGGAAGGTCAGGGCGAGGCAGAGCACCCGGCACCCTCCCTGACCCTCGGAAGCGCTATCAGTCTAAAGTCACTTCGACCGACACCGAGGGCTGACCCAAAACATGAACTCGGGTACCTCCTTGGCACCAGCACATTGGCGGCGGGGGCGTGGACGTGGCAAGCGAGGTCAGCAGGGGCGGCTCAGCCACGTGGGGAGGGTGGCATCGCCATGAACAGAGACCTCGGCCAGCCGCTGGGCCTGTGCCATAGTGACAACTCTCGGAAACGGGTCCAACGCCCCCAACAGAGTGGAAAGACGTTTATCTCCCGGACAAGGCTGGAGGTGAATGACGGAAAGTATCCCAAGAGAAATCGGCCCAGAACGAGGGTGGCAGAGATGAGATTTGGGAGCGCTGGAAGGAGAGATGAAGACCCCGGGGCGGCAGAGAACCAGAGCTGGAGGGGTCAGCTGGGCCTGAAGCTGGCCACAGAGTCCCCACCGGTTTCCTGGAGTCCGTGAGCATCCCCAGGACATCACGGGCCATGTGCAGAAGCAGGAAGATGATTCCCAGCAAGGAACCCTGCAGAGGCTCACAGCCACCAGACCCGGGTTAGGCTTGGGAAGGATACCCACATTTGCATACAAAACCCACACACACCTGCATGTGTTTGCATATTAAACAGCATGCCTGAATACATTTGCATGTTAAATAGCACACCTGAATCACACCTGAATCGCCGTTGCACTAGAGACCGCAGAGAAGCCGGAAACACTTTCCACAGCACGTAAACAACAACAACAACAAAAAAAAAGACACGCAGCCAAGAAGGGCTTTTGGAGCTGCAATCGCTGACTCCTCTCTTTCTGGTGATTTCTTACAAGTGACAGCGCATTTAAGATGTTCATACATGGGTCCTCAGGGAAGGAGCCGGCTGGAGCTTCCCCCGGGAAAGGGCCGGGAAAGTCCAGGAGCGGCAGCACTGGTACCTCCGAGATAGCCCCGACGCTTGGCCACACCCGAGACTGGAACGGGCTTCGATGGCCGGGGGGCCTGGGCACCACAGCACCACTCAGAAACAAACACACATGGCGGATCACAGGTGCGGGGGGCATGGCACGACCTCCTGGTCCCCACAGACCCTCCCCCACCCCAAGAGGGGAGCTGCTCAAACACTGTGGCTTGTTGCCATGTGCCAGTTCCAGCTCATGCAGAAAGATGCTCATTGGGGACCAGCAAGATCACAAGATCACAACCATCCTGTTATTCGTCGATCGCCTCGAGCAGGCCCCAGTAACGTCTCCTTTGTCCTAGCCCTGAGGTTTTTTTTTAAAGTGCCATATTCAAGGCTCTTTCAGAGTTAGGAGAATGAGACCCTTCACTGTTACTGGCATTTGGCATATTGGGGACACCACGGGGAGTTTGCCAGACTCTGCCGTGTGGGCAGGTTACATTCGGTAGCCAGCAAATTAATGATAAATAAGATCTCTGTCTACTGCCAGCCCAGCCTTATCTGTGCCCCCCTGTATTATCCACTTGCTTTGCTAAAACCTCGACTAGGACTGAGTCACATCAAATGTAAGAACAGAAGAGGGGCCCGGGGGCACGGCCTGCATGAGCTCCACCTGGCACCTCCCCCCCGAGGCTGCAGGTGTGGTCTGGGTCCTGGGCAGTCAGAGCACCAGGCCGAGCACTGACCCTGCGAGTGGCCACTGGGCTCCCTGGGAGAGAAGAACAGCTGAGTCAATATACCTTCAGTATTCTGGGGGGCAGGGAGCGACGGGTACAGGAATATAAGCCAGTTGTTTTCACTAGAAAACACTTAGCTGGCCGGTAAGCACAACAAAAGCCACTCGGGGTCGTGAGTAACGGGGACCGGCAAGGCCAGGCCACATGAGCTACCACTCAGCCTCCCCAGGATAGCCTGAATCAGGGAAAGAACGAACAAGGGCTGGTCGAGCTGCAGGCAGTGTCCCAGGCAGCCTGCCACGGGCCCCACAGCTTCCATCAGGAAGGGAAATGGGGACACAGTCCAGCACCTCAATGAGAATGTCATAAACAGCAGTGCTGACCAGAGCCACAAAGAAAGAGAGCCGTGGAGCCAGAGTCACAGAACCACAGAGCCACAGAAGAGCCAGAGCGCCACACAACCAAAGAGCCACAGAGCCACAGAACCACAGCCAGATAGACACAGAGCCACAGAATCACAGAGCCGCACAACCAAAGAGCGACAGAACCGCAGAGCCACAGAACCACAGTCAGAGAGCCACAGAACCACAGAGCCAGAAAGCCACAGAGCCACAGAGCCACAAAACCAAAGGCCACAGAGCCACACAACCAGAGAACCATGAGCCACAGAAGCACAGAATCACAGAGCCAGAGTCACAGAGTCACAGAACTAGAGTCACTGAATCACAAAGCAAGAGCCACAGAGTCACAGTCAAAGACTGGCAGAGTCACAGAGCCAGAGCCACAGAACCAGAGCCACAGAACCAGAGTCACTGAATCACAGAGCCAAAGAGTCAGAGTCACAAAGCTACAAAGTCACAGAACCACACAGTCACAGAGCCACTGAGTCACAGAGTCACAGAGCCAAGAGACAGAGCCACAGAGTCAGAGGGCCACAGAGACAAGAGACTGAGCCACATAGAGCCACAGAGCCTCAGAGCCTCGGAGCTAAAGCCCCAACACACCGAGCTGGGCAGAGAGGCTAGTGGCACATACTGAGGGACACAGTGCATCCTGGGAGTGATGTGGGAGGGACGTGGCATTGAAGTGGCAGTCTCCAAGCTCAGGAGTGACCGCTCGGAAGCACCATCTCAGGCCAAGGCTTGGCTGCAGGAACGGCGGGACCAGCAGGCCACACTCTCTGAGGCCCGCACAGCGGGGGAAGCGAGGAGCAAGGCCACCCTGCGCCGTCTCCACTCCAGCGCCCAGCAGCACAGGGACACGTGGGGACACACAGAGACGCCTGTCACCCCACCCTGCCCCCAGTGCCCGCCAGGCCGTGAGCAGGGAGAGAGGCCTGAGACGCAGACCCAGGTTCTCAGCAAGAGCTCAGGGTGCCGGCGGCACAGGGGCCCCGTGGGCAGAGGCGTGGGAGGCTCACGGTGGGGGGCTACAGTGGGGGGACTCACAGTGCAAGCAGCCCCATTGGGCATAGTCCCAGAGACACTAGGCACCGCGGGGACGAACATCAAAGAGGACCCCCTGCGGACACCCCCGTCATTCCCGCCAGCACCACCCAGCCCACGAGTGAATCCTGAGAGTCCCAGCCGCCTCCGCGCCGGTGGGCAATGCCCCACAGAGCCATCGAGAATGACGGTCCCTTCAGGCACCTCCAGCTCCGGGAGTCGCTGCTAGTCTGCCACGGTGGCCCCGACTAGGGGGAGGCGGGGGGCGGCGGCAGCATCACCAAACCCCCCCCCCCACACACAGACACACACACACACATGCACACGCACGCACACGTGCACACATCCACGCACACACGCATACATGCACACACACATAACCGTATTGAAAAATTCTGAAGCCTCAGATTCTGGACTCCTGGAGAAGTGAGGGACAAGGGACAGCTTTTCACACAGAACTCCAGGGAGGGCGAAAACAATTTCATTTGGCAACCAAGCTCCCCCCGGGGGAGGACAGGAGCCACGAGGACCCAGCGTGGAGCCCGGCACACCAATGACCCATTTCCTTCTTTTAATGATCCCCCCCCCCTTTGCACGGGTTCTGGAAGCCAAAAATATACCAGAGCCCACCGGGAAATGATGGGGCTCGCAGAGAGAGTGGGCACGAGCTGCGGAAGGCCCGTGAGGCGGGAAAAGGAAAACTCACCTCTCTCTCGGGGACACACAGATGCGAGATGCAATAGAGAATCAGACATTGGCGTGGCAAGGAACATGGATCACAGAATCAAGGGCATCACCGTGAACCGAGTGCAGGATCGGGGGACAGGCATGCGCGGTGCAGAGGGGGGAACTCTCAGGGCACACACGTGGCAAATCATTCACGGAACATGCGGGGCAGAATTCCCTCTTGAACAGACAACATGATCAGCAGACAGCAGACCGCCCCCCCAGAGCAGCACAGGACGATGATCAGGTTTGGCTTTGCTGTTTGACAGTTCTGATTTAAAATCATCTAAATCAGAATGCCCCAAGGATCATGACCCAGAAAGGTGAACCATTCATTCACACCATGAGACAAGCACTTGAGGAATAAATAAAACAACCAACCGGAAGGACCACAGACGGAGTACCTGGGTCAATGAGAACCTCTTGTGCCCCTGGAAGAAAGAACAGATCACGGTCTTTTACTGGGGAACGAAACTTCCTTCACAGAGAGCTACTTGGTCCCGTCTCGTCTTCCGGGCAGCCCGGAACACCGGGGAGCTCCTCTCTGGGGAGAAGGCAGGTCCCAGGCAAGGCCGCACGAGCCCCGTCTCCTGCTCAGGAAGGCAGGCAGGCAGACCCGTCCCCGTCGCAGGCAGCAGGATCCATCTCCAAGGGCCCCGGAGGGACGCCTGTCCCACGACAACGAGGGTGGCTCTGTTCGTGTCTGCACACGAGGCCTTCGCCATGTGCTGTCACCAGCCGCCTCCCCGGTGCCCGGCTTGGACTCGGACAGGTCAGCTTAGTGGACCTAAGAAGGTCAAAAACCCTTGAAACCATCAAAGCCCAGTGCCACCGCGGAATCTCGATGAGATGTTGGGGCCGGAGCGACAGGACAGTGGGGAGGGCATCCGCCTGGCACACGACCGACCCAGGTTCAATCCCCGGCACCCCAGAGGGTGTCCCGAGCCCCTCAGGACTGATTCTGAGTGCAGAGCCAGGCGTAATCCCTGGGCATCACTGGGTGTGGAATGCACGCCCCGCCACCCCCCGAAAAAACACTATCCGGGTATCAGTAAGATGCAGTCAGCCCCCAGTCCCAGCGTCTCAATGACCCACCAGCGCCTGGTCTCCGAGAGCACACGGCGGGCGTCCTGGTCACTGGCCAGCCTCGCATCTCCAAGGCTTCCCCCTGCTCTGCCTCTAGTGCACTGACTCCCGAGATCAGACAACAGCAGCCAGAAGCCTCCAGGGTTCTGGAGGGTGGGCGTGGGGCAAGGGCGACACCAGCTTCCCTCCGGCGACCACCCTGGCCATGGGGTGCCAAGGTGCCAGCGGTGGTGCCTGCCTTCCACACGCAACCATGGCCAGCGGCTTCTGACCCAGGAGGAAACGCCCGGCCTCACCACAGTCCTCACGGCGCATCGGAAATCTTCACGTGAGGTGGCAGGAAGAAAACACAAGAGAAGCACGGGGCCAGAGGCACAGGACGGAGGGGAAGGCGCCCTGGGTTCGAGCCCCGGCATCCCAGAGGGCCCCCTGAGCACAGAGCCAGGAGTCAGCCCCGAGTTCTGCGAGGCATGGTTCAAAACCAAAAAGATGCAGGCACAAGGTGCTCCTCAGCTTCAGGATGAAACGGACGCTGCAGCACTGAGGCTGGGGGCCGAGAAATCAAGGAACGCTGGACCCTCTGCGGCTCTCAGAGGTGCGACAGCGCCACCTAGGGCCCGAGAGCCGCCTAGCAGCAGGGAAAGGAGCTACCAAGGCGGGCGGGCAGTGAGGCGCCTGGACACTGGGTGGCAGTGAGGCCCTGGACACTGGGGCGGGCAGTGAGGCCCTGGACATTCAGGAGGGCTGTGAGGCCCTGGACACGGACGGGCAGTGAGGGCCTGGTCACCGGAGGGCAGTGAGGACCTGGACATTGGGGAGGGCAGTGAGTCCCTGGACATTGGGCGGGCAGTGAGGCACCTGGACACTGAGTGGCAGTGAGGCCCTGGACACTGGGGCGGGCAGCGAGGCACCTGGACACTGGGGCGAGCAGTGAGGCACCTGGACACGTGTGGGCAGTGAGGTACTTGGACACAGGCGGGCAGTGAGGCCCTGGACATTGGGGCGGGCTGTGAGGTCCTGGACACGGATGGGCAGTAAGGGCCTGGTCACCGGAGGGCAGTGAGGACCTGGACATTGGGCGGGCAGTGAGGCACCTGGACACTGGGGCGGGCAGTGAGGACCTGGACATTGGGGCAGTCAGTGAGGCCCTGGACACGGGTGGGCAGTGAGGCCCTGGACACGGGCGGGCAGAGAAGCCCTGGGCACTGGGGCCGAGCCAGCTGCGGGCTCAGCGGCTCAGGGAATGGCCGTCCGTGCTCGCTCCGGCTCCTTTCCTACCCCGGAACACAGCATGGCAGAGGCCTGGTGCGGGGCTGAGACATGTAGGGTGCGGCCACCTCCCAGTGCCCGTACCCAACCATACCAGGATCAGGTCACTCTGCAGGAACCCAGGCATGGTGCCGGGCCCCGAGCCCTCCCAGCCAGCACTGCACCCCCAGAACCCGCCTTGGGCGGGCTGAGCCGGACATTGGGCTGGCTCTGTCTCTTTCTGGTTTTGAATCCTGCCCAGTGATGCTCGGGCTGACTCCTGGCTGTGCTCAAGGATGACGCCGGCAGGGCTCCGGGGACCCTGTGGGGTGCCAGGGATGGGCCCAGGCCAGGTGCGTGAAGGCCAGCACCTGCCTGCTGTCCTGTGGCTCCGGCCCCCGGGCGTCCCTAACATGTGAGTGTGTGGGCCGCTCAGCGGCTCCCCAAAGGACGCACGGCAGGCACGCAGATGAGGCTCACTTGCCCGTTAACCTCACAAGGACGCTGGGAAAGTGCAGAGAGCCACCTTCTAGCCCCGAAGCCCGCGTCCATAGCCGAGCCCCGACAGCTCTGGGCATGTTCCTGATTTCCAGGCAGCAGCAGAAGAGCCAACAGACCCGGAATACAAGCTGAAGCCACCGTGTGTTCAAGGCTCCTAGTCTCCATGCAAACCGTCAGCTCAGCTCTGCTAACCAGCAAGTCCCCATCTGACCAGTCAAGTGACCATCTGGACCTCACATGCAAACCGTGAACACAAGGGAGCAAAGCCCCGAGATGCCCAGAGAGGGTGGGACGATGGCCTGGCACACCCCCCCCGGGTGCCTGTGGGGACATCCAGAGGGTCTCCCAAGCCCCTCCAGGAGAGAGCCCCAAGCACAGAGTCAGGAGTGAGCCCTGAGCACCATAAGGTGTGACTCAAAAACAAACAAAAGCAGAAGTGGGACCACATATGGGGTCCCAAACCCCGTGAGTGTCAGGAGAACAGAATCAGACCACCTATCCCAACAGACATGGGGGCAAATACACACACACTTGAAAATGAAGCAAAATGAATTAATTTCAAATATATCCTGAGGGCTGGAGCGATAGCACAGCGGGTAGGGCATTTGCCTTGCACATGGCCGACCTGGGTTCGATTCCCTGCATCCCATATGGTCCTCCGAGCACCGCCAGGAGTAACTCCTGAATGCATGGGCCAGTAGTAACCCCTGCGCATCGCCAGGTGTGACCCGAAAAGCAAAAAATAAATAAATAAATAAATAATAAAATATTTCCTGAGACGGGGCCAGAGCCATAGTACAGTGGATAGGGTGTTTGTCTTGCATGCGGTCAACCTGAGTTCAACCCCTGGCATTCCATAGCATTCCCTGAGCACCACTGAGAGTAATTCCTGAGTGCAGAGCAAGGAGTAACCCTTGAGCATCACTTAGTGTGACCAAAAAAGAATAAAAAAAATCCTGAGTCAAAGAAAATTGAAACAGGGTTATAAGGAGGAAGGAAGGAAGGAAGGAAGGAAGGAAGGAAGGAAGGAAGGAGGGAAGGAAGGAGGGAAGGAAGGAGGGAAGGGGGAGGGAAGGAGGGAAGGGAGGAAGAAAGGAAAGAAGGAAAAAGGAGGGAGGGAGGGAGGGAAAAGGAGGGACATTCAGACAGCAGCGGAAGAAGGGAAGAAGGAAGAGAGGGAAGGAGGGAGGGAGGGAGGGAGGGAGGGAAAGAGGGAAGGAGGAAGGAAGGAGGAAGGAGGAAGGAAGGATGGAAGGAAGGGAGGAAGGGAGGGAGGGAGGGAGGAAGGAAGGGAGGGAGGGAGGGAGGGAGGAAGGGAGGGAGGGAAGGAGGGAGGGAGGGAGAGAGGGAGGGGAGGGAGGGAAGGAAGGAATCGAGAGAGGGAAGGAGAGAGGGAGGAAGGAAGGGCTGGCCCGGGGCTCGCCCAGCACACACTCAGCCACCCTCAGTCCTGGGTACCAGCCGGAGGCCCTGAACATCACCGACGTGGCCCAGGGGACCCCCAGCACCATGGGGCCGGCACAGCACCACATCGGAGAGGCTGTGTGCTGCCAGCCTGGCAAGCCTGCGACTGGGGCTGGAATCTCTGCCAGAGCAATAGCACAGCAGCGGGAACACCTGCCTGGCACACGGCTGACCTAGATTCCACCCCCGGATCCCACCGGGTCCCCCAAGCATGACCAGGAGTGGTCCCTGAGTGTAGAGCCAGGAGTCAGGCCTGAGCACTGCCAGGTGTAGCCAGGAAATAAAAAGCCATCAAGAACCTCCTCGCTGTGAAACGGCAGCGGTTCTGAGCACGCCTCCCTCGGCCCGTCTCCTGGGACCCCGTAACAGGACAGCGAGGTCCGGAAGCAGGAAAGGCGCCGTCCCGCGCACACCGCCCAGCGGGGCAGGTTCTCTCGGTGACTGGCGCAGACGGGAGCACGTCCGCCTGCAGGCACCAAGGGGATGGCGCCAGCCTGGAAAATCAGTAACTGCACAGGCCTGGAACTGGCGTTAAAACTGACCCCTGGGGCTCGACTCCAGCACAGAGACGCAGGAATCGGCCCCGCTGAGGCTCAAGCCGCTCAAGCCCGGGAATGAGCCGTGGATAAGTCAGCGACCCCTGGCAAACTGCTGGCCATCCTGTCCCGGGCCCACCTACCTGGACGGTGTCTGTTGGCGGCCTCGGCAGGCAGCAGGCCGCCCTGGGACCTCCGAGCGCCGGTGGGCCGGCCCGTGCCCCCGGGATAGTGGTAGATGACGGATGCCGAGCACAGGCCCTCCAGGGCCGCTGGGAACCAGAACGAGACAGGGAGAAGCAGAGTTAGCGGGGAGGCCCCGGCATGGCACAGGCGCTCAGCATGGCGCCCAGGGGGGCTGCCCTGCTCAGGCTTTCAACCAGGAACGGCAGCGGTGGGGCTCCACCCCAACAACCCCCCCCAGGTCCCTGGAGCACCGCCAAGGGGGGGCACTCCTGAGTGCAGACCAGGAGGGACCCCTGAGCATCGCCTGGTGTGGCCCCAAGCCAAAATAAAAAAACCAAACATGTGCATCAGGCAGCCCAGCAAAGGAATTCCAGAACCTTCTTCTCACCCCACAGAAACCCGACACGGACCAACACATCGTACCCTCCCCCGTGAGCTGGGGGGCTGCAGGCTGAGTCTTGAGTCTCCTCCCTGCCCGGGTCTGCTCAGGCCCAGGGGAGGGGCCGCAGGATGGCGGGATGGCGGGCGTAGCCCCGCTCTCACCTCCGAGCCACAGGAAGTCGTTGACAGAGCGCAGCAGCTCCACGGCCATGTGGTAGTGGACCAGGGCGTCCTGCAGCATGCCGGCCTGCAGGCACAGGTCCCCCACGTGCTTCCGCATGCGCCCCTGGCAGCGCTTCTTGTAGTGCCTGCGGGACAGACACGGCTGCTGGGGCGCTGCGCCCACCTCCGCACCGGCACCCACCCACCCCCAGTTTCCCACTCCCAAAGGCAGGCCCAAGCCCCAGGCAACGCTGCAGGGAAAGCCACGCACAGCCACACGAGCCAGGGGCCCAGGCCGCACGCGCGCGCGCATGGGATCCTGCGTGCACACACACACACTCACACGCACGGACACACATACGCATAAACACACGCACACGGGGGCTTCTGCACACACTCACAGAATTGTACACACACGCACCCACATGCAGGTACACACGAGCGTGCACGCACGCACACACACACACGCACGAACTCCTGCACACAAATGCACAGGGATGCACACGTACACCCACACATGGGCTGCTCACACACGCATGCGTGCACAGGCTGTACACGTACACACAAGGGGGCTCCTGTACACACACTCGCACGCACAGCCTCCTAAGCGTACACACACACACACACACATACACACACACACACACACAGTGGCCGTGGCAGCCCTGGTTTCCGTTGGGGCCACTCGGATCCTGCTCTGCAGAACTAGGGGGGCCCCACGCCAGCCCCCGTGGGACCGTGGCACTCCCCACACCGGCCATGCCTGGCCCCTTGCCCGCCCACCCAGCCTCAGGTCCTGGTCACAGAGGAGCCAGGAAAGCAGGGACCCCTGCTCACGCCCACAGGTTCGGGTCCTGGGAAGGGGCCCCGCAGCCCACCTGCACAGCCCCCCCACAACTCAGCCCGGCCCGCGTCCAGCCCAGAGTCTCTGTGCGTCCATCCTGGTGCTCCCCACTCCGCCCTCACAGCGCCCCCACCCAGGCGCCTGTGCCCCAGGAAGTCACCACAGCTGGGGGCGAAGAACTAGCTGGGAGGGTGGGGTCTGGTAGGCGGAGTCTGCACGTGGGGGGCCCGGGTGTGGCAGCTCTGCTGGGCAGGGGTCTGGGTGGGTGTGTCTGAGGCGGGCGGAGTCTGAGTGTGAGGGGGCCTGGAGTGGGCGTGGTCTGGGTGTGGTAGGTTCTAAGTGGGCGGGGCCTGTGGTGGGCGGGGCCTGGCATGGCCGTGTGTGAGTGGGCAGGATCTGGCAGGTGGCAGTCTGGGTGGGCGGGGCCTGAGTGGAGGGGCCTGGAGTGGGCGTGGTCTGGGTGTGGTGGTTCTAAGTGGGCGGGGCCTGTGGTGGGCGGGGCCTGGCATGCACGTGTGAGTGGGCGGGGTCTGAAGGGCGGTCGTCTGGTGGGCGGGGTCTGAGTGGGCGGGGCTGGGTGTGGAGGAATCTGGTGGGATCTGGAAGTGTGGCAGGGTCTGGTTTGTGGTGGGGTCTGGGTTGGGTCTGGGAGTGGGGTCCTCCTCCCCCTCCTCCAGCTCCCGCTCCTCCTCCTGCTCCCCTCCTCCTTCTCTTCCTCCTCCATTTCCTGCTCCTGCTCCCCTTCCTCTTGCTCCTCATCCTCCTCTCCCTCCTCCAGCTCCATCTCCTCCTCCTCCTCCTCCTCCTGCTGCTCCCCTCCTCCTTCTCTTCCTCCTCCATTTCCTGCTCCTCCTCTTCCTCTGGCTCCTGCTCCCCTTCCTCTTGCTCCTCATCCTCCTCTCCCTCCTCCAGCTCCCTCTCCTCCTCCTCCTCCTCCTGCTCCCCCTCCTCCTCCTTCTGCTCCCCCTCCTGCTCCTCTGCACCCAGCCTGGGGGGCCGGGGCCCCCACACCCATGCACACATCACACAGCAGCAGCCGAGACCCTTGGCGCGAGAGCCCGCACAGCCGGCCAGCGGCCTCAGCAGCGCGTCTTGCTTCCTCCAAACAAGACGGTTAGTCAAAGCCCCGTGATCCCCAGACACGTGTCCGGGCGGATCCCGGGGCAACGAGGCATGCACAACCAAAGGAGAATGGAGCAAAGAAACGGACGGAAGCTGGTCCGAGGCCAGGATGAGCACGGGCCGCAGCGGCCGGCTTGGAAGCCGGGACGCAGCCGAGAGAGCGCAGCTGCCCTGCCCACCGCCTACCTTTTCAGACCCAACATCGAACTCACAGGGCGGTAGAGGGGAAAGGGGAGGGAGAGAAGAGAGAGAGGGGCAGGCAGAGTTAGAGGCCCCGGGACGGGGACGCGACGTCGGAAGAGCAGAGGCCGGCACTGTCCGTGTCCACCCCAGGCCCCCCACCACCACCTGGGCCCCTGAGAAACAAGAGCCCCAGTGCCGATGACACGGGCGGGAGGCGGTGCCTGAGGCTGGAGGCCAGGTGGGCCCCGGGCTGCGCTGAGAGTGGCAAGGGCATCAGCAGTCACCAGGCAGGCTGTGGGCATCACTGACCAACACCAACCGGCACTTTTCCGGACGCCTGCACCCACCAAGCCCAGGAGCGGCCCATGTCACAAGGGGGACACGTGTCCCTGTGCCAGGGACGTCCACGAGGGAGGGACCGTCCACAGCCCAGATGGCGTCGGGGTGCAGGCGAGGACACTCTGTGTGGGGCACCTTCGGGCAGCACCAGGGCTGGTACGGCCCCGTGCCATCTGCCACCGTCCTCTGCAGCTGACCCGTAGCGTCCCATGGCACTGAGGGCCGGGGTCCCGCGACACCAGGGACGGGCCGGCGCGAGGGCACAGCTGGGACAGGTGGCTCGGAGACACCCCTTAGCCCACACCCTGGGAGGGCTTCGAGGGCGCCTTCCAGAAACTCCCGTGGGCAGGGGAAGGGGCGGTCTGAGCTGCTACTTCGTTGGTGGGGCGGAGGGACCATATGGGGTGCAGAGACTGAAACCAGGGCCGGCCAGGGGCGCCAGCCTCAGGCGGGGCTTTCTTCACCTGAGCTCCAAGTCGTAAAACCCCAAAGGCCAAAGGTCACACCTGCCACTACTAAACCATCCCAGGGCGGCTCCTCCGACTCTGACTCCTCCTCTTCCTCCCCTCCCTCCTCCCCTCCACTTCCTCCCCTCCCTCCTCTGCTCCCTCCTCCTTCCTCTTCCTCATACCCCTCCCTCCTCTCCTTCCTCTTCCTCCCCACCCTTCTCCCCTTCCCTCCTTCCCCCGGGAAGGTGGGCGGGGCCTCTGGTGGGCGGGGCCTTTTGGCGGGCGGGGCCTTTTGGTGGGCGGGGCCTCCGGTGGGCGGGGCCTCTGGGGGCGGGGCCTCCGGTGGGCGGGGCCTCTGGGGGCGGGGCCTCCGGTGGGCGGGGCCTCCGGTGGGCGGGGTCCGGCAGGACGCACTTGCAGGCACCTCCTCCCCCCACCCCTTCCCCGCGGGGCCTCCCAGCGGCCAACCTGCTGTCCGTGTCCAGCCCCACGAAGTCCTTCTTCTCGAAGGGCACGCACAGCAGCGGGATCTTGTCCCCGGACTTGTCGGTGGCGCGGTCCAGGCGCTTGGACTCCAGCACGATGAAGAGCGACTCCACGAAGTCCTCGATGCGCTTCTCCACCGAGTCGCAGGCGTCGTAGCTGGGGTAGAAGGCCACGTCGGGGCGCGGGGGCTCGGCCACGTGGCCGGGCAGCCCGAAGACGAAGAGGCGCGAGTCGTACAGCGTGGGCCCGTACATCTCCTTCTGCGCCTGGAAGCGCTCGAGCGCCTGGGGCCAGTCCCCGGGCGCCGCGCAGTCGGTGACGGTCACCAGGCCCACCACCTTGCGGTGCGTCTGCAGGTCGCCCCACTCGTTGTTGCCCGGCGGGTAGTGGTGGCGGTAGCGGATGTAGAGCACGCGCTGCGAGTCCCGCACGCTCACCTGGCTCACCGCACAGATGCGCCGGTACACGCGGAAGAAGTTCTCCTCCGACACGACGCCCACCGGCTGCACCACCACCAGCAGCGTCTGGTGGTCCTCGGCGCACTGCATGTAGTCAGGGACGCTCATCCTGGCGGCCCTGCGGGGGGATGGTGGACGGTGAGGGGAGGAGGGAAAGGGGAGGAGGGACAGAGAGGAGGGAGGGAAGAAGGTTCTTGGAGGTGTCCGTGGCAGAGAGGGGCCTCCGCCCAGCACCCTGAAAGTCCCTGTGGGCTGGGAGCTAAGGCGGGGCCCGCTGGGTGTGGGTACAGGCGCCAGGTGTGGGACTGTGTGGGTACGGGTGCCGGGTGTGGGTACAGGTGCCGGGTGTGGGACTGTGTGGGTACGAGTGCTGGGTATGGGTACAGGCGCTGGGCGTGGGTACAGGTACTGGGTGTAGGTACAGGCGCCAGGTGTGGGACTGTGTGGGTACGGGTGCCGGGTGTGGGTACAGGTGCCGGGTGTGGGACTGTGTGGGTACGAGTGCTGGGTATGGGTACAGGCGCTGGGCGTGGGTACAGGTACTGGGTGTAGGTACAGGCGCCAGGTGTGGGACTGTGTGGGTACGGGTGCCGGGTGTGGGTACAGGCGCCAGGTGTGGGACTGTGTGGGTACGAGTGCTGGGTATGGGTACAGGCGCTGGGCGTGGGTACAGGTACTGGGTGTAGGTACAGGAGCCGGGTGTGGAACTGTGTGGGTCCAGGAGCAATGTTAAGCTTGGGAAGGTCTGTGGATCACGCACACAGAATGAACAAGAAAAGAACCTCTGTCTCTCTCTTTCACACACACACACACACACACACACAGAACAGGAGCAAAGACCCAGGTGCACCCAGGAGGGTCTGACCCCACGTCCCAGGGCCATACCCGGGGGGCACCCAGGAGGGCAACACTCACAGCACCACCAACCCCCCTTCCCATGAATCCCGTCACCAGGGTCTGACAAAAGAAAAGAAAAGAAACGCGGTACCCTCGTGGGACAGCGCTGAAGGGAAGTCCAGTGACATGCGTGGTGCGACCACATGCCTGACAGGAAGAAAGCATAAGGGCCACCACGTCCCCCAGCGTCAGGGAGTGCTCCCTGAGCACAGCGCTGGGTGTGGCCCCAAACAAAAACAAACCCCAAAAATCCCAAAAAACACTGTCCTTCACGGAGATTCGGTAAACAGAAGTTAATAACCGCATAACTGCCAAAGAAAGTGCCGACAAGAGCAGTTGCTGGTGGCCGGGGTCCCGGAGCGGCTGGGGGGACTCTGGGCCCCCCATGGCGCATCCATCAGCAGGAGGCCGGGGTGGGGAAGGGATATCTGGTTTATGTTGTCGGATACTAGTATGGCCACCCCAGCTTTTTTGAGGGAGCTGCCGGCCACGGGACCGCCCACCACTCACCATGCAGAAGTGACAGCCCCGGTTCGGCCTCTCCTGCTGGGAACCCAACTCCTACAAAGGCTCCTCCTGCAGTGCTGTGCGGGGAGGCTCCAGCCCACGGTGCCAACCAAGTGCTCAAGGCGACTGCAGGGAGCGGGAGGAGAGGGGAAACGCGCTTAGGTCACCCCACGGAGTTCTGGGTAGAAACTGCGGCTGTTCCCTCTTCCAGTTCTTCCTGATGCTTCGGAGACAGAGACGGCGGCTGCTCTCCATCACCCCAAGGGGCACAAACTTCCCAGGACCGTTTCTGGGATGCAGCGATCCCGACACTTTGAACAGTCCCAGGACCCGGGCCCCAGCCCTCTCCCCCCAGAGTTCCCACCCCCCACCAGAAACGTGGCAACGTGGGCCCAGACCAAAAACCACACCGCGACCCCCCTCCCCACCGCGGGAGAAGGCCCGGGGGCGTCTGTGGGCCCCAACTGCGCGGCCAGCTCAGCGCCCCCTGCGAAACCCCGTCTGTGTCTGCACGTCTGTGTCTCTGCACGTGCACCTGTGCGTTTGTGTGTCTGCACATGTGTCTGTATGTGCGTCAGTGTCTGTGCATCTGTGCGTGTGTCTGTGCCTCTGTGTCTGTAAGTGCGTCTGTGTCTGTGAGTCTGTGCATGTCTGTGCGTCTGTGTATCTTATCTGGACGTGCGTCTCTGCGTCTCTGTGTGTCTGTGCGCCCACGCATGCGTCTGTACGTGCGTCTGTGCGCCTGTGTATCTGTCTGTGCGTCTGTGCCCCCATGCATGCATCTGTACATCTGTGTGTCTGCCTGTGTGTCTGTGCGCCTGTACATTCATCCGTGCGTCTGTGCGTGTCGAGACGTGCGTCATTGCGTGCGTCACCCACCTGTGCGTCTATACACGTGTCTATGCATCTGTATGTGCGTCTGTGCGTGTGTCCGTACGCGCGTCTGTGCGCACGTCTGAACATGCACCATGCGTTGTGCGTGAGCGTCTGGGTCAGTGTCCGCGGCCGGTCAGTGCACGCGCGCCGCATCCGCCCCAGCGCGGGAGTCCGAGATGCGGCCCGGGACCCTCTGGTGATGACTCAGGGAGACGCAGGACCGGCCGGCTGGCCCTGCCCACCGCCCCCAGAGGCAGGAGAGGAGCCCCCAGCGACCCTTCCTCCCGGCCTCGCTTCCTGCTGGTTTCCGGGAGGCACTGACCCCTCGCTGGACACTGACCCTCGCCATGCGCTGACCTTCACTGGGCACTGACCCTCGCTGGACACTGGCCCTCGCGGGGCCCTGACCCTGGCTGTGCACTGCCCCTCGCTGGACACTGGCCCTCGCCGTGCGCTGACCCTCACTGGGCACTGACCCTCGCTGGACACTGGCCCTTGCCGTGCGCTGACCCTCACTGGGCACTGACCCTCGCTGGACACTGGCCCTCGCGGGGCCCTGACCCTGGCTGTGCACTGCCCCTCTCTGTACGCTGACCCTCGCTGGACACTGACCCTCGCCGTGCGCTGACCCTCACTGGGCACTGACCCTCGCTGGACACTGGCCCTTGCCGTGCGCTGACCCTCACTGGGCACTGACCCTCGCTGGACACTGGCCCTCGCGGGGCCCTGACCCTGGCTGTGCACTGCCCCTCTCTGTGCGCTGACCCTCGCTGGACACTGACCCTCGCCGTGCGCTGACCCTCACTGGGCACTGACCCCTCGCTGGACACTGACCCTCGCCATGCGCTGACCGTCACTGGGCACTGACCCTCGCTGGACACTGGCCCTCGCGGGGCCCTGACCCTGGCTGTGCACTGGCCCTCGCCGTGCGCTGACCCTCACTGGGCACTGACCCTCGCTGGACACTGGCCCTCGCCGTGCGCTGACCGTCACTGGGCACTGACCCTCGCTGGACACTGGCCCTCGCGGGGCCCTGACCCTGGCTGTGCACTGCCCCTCTCTGTGCGCTGACCCTCGCTGGACACTGACCCTCGCCGTGCGCTGACCCTCACTGGGCACTGACCCTCGCTGGACACTGGCCCTCGCGGGGCCCTGACCCTGGCTGTGCACTGCCCCTCTCTGTACGCTGACCCTCGCTGGGCACTGATCCTCGCTGGACACTGACCCTCGCCGTGTGCTGGTCCTCATTGGACACTGACCCTCGCTGGACACTGGCCCTCGCGGGGCCCTGACCCTGGCTGTGCACTGCCCCTCTCTGTACGCTGACCCTCACTGGGCACTGATCCTCGCTGGACACTGACCCTCGCCGTGCGCTGACCCTCACTGGGCACTGACCCTCGCTGGACACTGGCCCTCGCGGGGCCCTGACCCTGGCTGTGCACTGCCCCTCTCTGTGCGCTGACCCTCGCTGGACACTGACCCTCGCCGTGCGCTGACCCTCACTGGGCACTGACCCTCGCTGGACACTGGCCCTCGCGGGGCCCTGACCCTGGCTGTGCACTGCCCCTCTCTGTACGCTGACCCTCACTGGGCACTGACCCTCGCTGGACACTGACCCTCGCCGTGTGCTGACCCTCATTGGGCACTGACCCTCGCTGGACACTGGCCCTCGCTGGGCCCTGACCCTCGCTGTGCACTGCCCCTCCCTGTGCGCTGACCATCCATCGCTGGACACTGACCCTCCCTGGGCCCAGCCCCTAACTGCGCGCTGAGATCGCTGTGCACTTACCCCCACTGTGCGCTGACCCTCGCCGGACACTGCCCCTCGCGGGGCGCTCTCCGGGTCTCCACGTCCGATCCCTCTCGGCAGACGTGGGCTCGCTCCACAGGCGCCCGCCGACAGACTGGGGTGCCGGGGCGGCGGGGTGACACTTGTCCTCGGGCCTCCTCGGGGAGAGCTGGCCACTCTGCAGCCCGGGCAGCAGGGCCGGGGCCCGCGCGGGTCACACCGCGCGGCGAGGGTCGCGGCCGGGGCGCAGGGGAGCCCCGGCAGGTGCACGGGCCGGACCCCCGCGCCGCCGCCGCCCCCGCCCAGGTCCCCGCACTTCCACGTCCGGCGGCGGCGACCTGGACAGTAACGACCCGCGGCGGCGTCCAGGCTCGGAGCGCAGCTGCCGCCGCCGCCCTCCTGCGCATGCGCGCGCCGGGCCCGCCCCGATCCGCTCCGGGTTTCCGCGGGGACAGCCCGGAGGGCGGCCGGGAGGAGGGGCCGCGGCGGGAAGGGCGCGTCCGGGCGGGCCGGGCGGACCTCAGCCCCCCACCCCCGCCGACCCGCTGTCCTCTGGGAGGTGCCCGGCACTGCCCCGTGTGCCCCGCATAAACCCCCCCGTCCAGGGGCCGGAGCCGGGGCGGGGACAGCGAGGAGGGGCTGGGCTTGCACGCAGGTGGCCCGGGTTCAGGCTCTGGGCAGCCCAGAGGGTCCCCTGAACCCCGCCAGGAGGGGTCCCGGTGCGCAGAGCCAGGGGTCAGCCCTGAGCACCACCCACCGGGTGGGGCCCCCAAACCTGAAGTTAATAAATAAACTCCCTTTTTGCAAGTGGGAGACTGAGGCAGGCCTGTCTGAGACAGGAGCTGGGGAGGGGGCCAGGCACCACCTGGAGATGGTGCTCAGGGGTCACTCCTGGCCCTGCCTCCGGGATGCCCCGGCCGTGCTCGGGCAAGCGCCCTCCGCCCTGTTATCTCTCAGCTCCTCCTGTGTCCTGTCGTACTGTTCCCACTTTTTGCCAGGTGCACGGATTTATTAAATTTTAAATAAAAGCCGAAAAGCAGTGGCAGCAGCTGAATTCTGCAGTGGAGGCCAGGCGCCGGGGGGAGGTGGCAGTCCCCCAGAAGGCCGGTCCAGTGCTGTTCTGTTTTTATTATTCATGCGGTTTTTATAAAATAATCATGTGTCCAGGACCACAGGAACCCCAGCTGGGCTTATCACTGAGTCGTTTGCCCAGGGGTGGGAGGCGTTGAGAACAGCTGCTGACAGGTGTGGGATGAAGGCCAGCCCCGGACAGACCACAAAACCTGCCCTGCGCAATGCGCAGTGCGGTTCTTCTGAAGAGCCCAGGGTGGGGCCCAAGTGGTAGCACAGCGGGGAGGGCGTTTGCCTTGCGCACGGCCAGCAGGTTCAATCCACAGCATTGCCAGAGGGAATTCTTGAGCACAGCGTCAGAAGCAACCCCTGAGCACCACTGGTGTGGCCCCCAAAACCAAAACTAAAACCAAATTAAAAAGATGCTTTAATGTGCCTGGGGCTGTGACACCCCCGTCACAGCTCGGTGAGGTCCAGGCTAGGTGAGGTTCACAGCCACCCACCGCTGGGCCCAGCTCACACAACGGACTGGCACAACTCAGGGGAATGGGTTTGGGAAGAACGTCCCAAGGAGACAAGGCTGTTTTTCAAGATAGTTTTTGTTTACGATTAGTTTTTTTTGTTTTTTGGGTTTTTTTTTTTTTTTTTTTTTTTTTTTTTTGCTTTTTGGGTCACACCCGGAGATGCTCAGGGGTTACTCCTGGCTCATGCACTCAGGAATTACTCCTGGCGGTGCTCGGGGGACCGTATTGGATGCTGGGAACCGAACCTGTGTTGGCCATGTTGGCTGCGTGCAAGGCCCTACCCGCTGTGCTATTGCTCCAGCCCCACAATTGTCTTATTGTCCCCGCAAAGCCTTGGGGGAAAGAAGGAGAGACAACAGATCTGCATTTGGTCTCACTCAACGGGGCTCAGGGATGGCTTCTGCGGGGTCTCGGGGGACCGCATGGGGTGCTGGGATCGAGCCAGGGCAGGCTGCGTACAAAGCAGGTGCCTTAGCCACAATACTCTCTCTCTAGCTCCCTATTCTGCTTTTTTTTCCCCTTTTTGTTTTTTGAGCCACATCCAGTGATGCTCGGGGCTCATTCCTGGCTCTGCGCTCCGGAATCACTTCTGGGGCAATGCTCTGGGGACCAGATGGGATGCCGGGGATCAAACCTGGGTCGGCCGTGTGCAAGGCAAATGCCCTCCCCACTGTACTATTGCTCAACCCCTACTCTGCATTTTTCAGAGCTCAGGCTAAGAGAATGTAGGGCTTGACACACACCCCCAACAAGGCTTTCCCCGGGCCGGAGCGATAGGAAAGTAGGTAGGGCACTCGTTTTGCACGCAGCTGACTTGGGTTCGATCCCTGGCATCCCGTATCGTCACCCAAGCCCCGCCAGGAGTAATTCCTGAGTGCAGAACCAGGAATAACTCCTGAGCACTGCTGGACGTGACTCAAAAACAAAACCCCCAAAAAAGCAGTACTTGGGGTGTCCTGGGCCAGGGGGTGCTCCTGGGTCTGGAACGCAGGCGGCGGTCTCGGGTGCCCTGAGCGACACGGAACATGACCCCCAAGCACCGAGCCAGGGGTAGCCCTTGAGCACACCAGGCAGGGCCCAAAGCAAAAATTGGGTGGTGTCCTGCCAGCCCCCAGTGCCTGTTCCTCTGCTCTGGCTGCCACATCATTCCCATCGTGACTCCCACAGTTCTTGCCATGGGAGGGCAGAGTGCCAGGGGTCCTCTGCCAGCGCCCTGGGACCTCACGTGCTCGGGGCAGTGCTGGCGGCTCGGGCAACTGTGAGGCGGGCACTGGGCCACTGAACTGCCCAGAGTAGCTGGAACATTTCCTGAGCGTCCCCTTTAAGCGTCGAGAATTCCAAGAACTTTCCAGACCTGCTCCTAAGTCCGCCAGCCCCCAAAGCTGACTTGGAAGGTGCCTCTGAGCAGGCCCAGGTTCACACTGGCGCGTCCTCAGCTGGCGTCGGAACCGAGATGGAGGTGACAGAAAGACCTGCTGGAAAGTTCTGTCAGGGGCGGGGGCAGGGCACTTGCCTGGCAGGCGGCCAACCCATTGGGTTCAACTCCCAAAACTGCACAGGCTCCCACATGCCCCGCCAGGAGTGCTCCCTGAGCATAAAGTCCGGAGAAGGCCAGGATGTAGTCCCAAATCCCCCCCCCCACTCCTCCCAAATTCCTATGAAATGAGGCTCATCTCCTTCCCCGAAACCTGCCGGGTTGGGGGGCTGCAGAGCATCAGAGAACCAGGCTGACACGCAATCCCACTGCGCAGACCACAAAAAAAAAAAAAAAAAAAACATTCACTCCTGCCAACTGTGCAGGAACCTCAGAGGGTTCTAGAAAAATGCGCTATCAGGATTACGTGACGGCCAGGACCATCCTGACACACAGAGGCACTGACCCAGCTGCACCTCCCTCCGCTCCAGTACCCTTGGTTTCCTGGTTAGGCTGGCTAGGGGCACCGTGCAGGTGCCATGATCGTGCCCATCAGACGTCCTGACCCCCTGCCAGCGTCATGTAGCACCTCCCTGGTCACTGCCTTGCAGTGTTCTGGATACTGATCATGTTTCACCTTCTGTAGAAAAACTCTTTTAGGATGGGAGATTCACTTACTTCACATGTTTACTTGGGTCGGCCAGAGCCACCCTCGTCCCCTCAGAGACCTTGGCCGGAGGGTGAGTGCAGCTGAGTCAGCAGACTGCCACCCTGCTCCCTTCCCTGAGTGGAACAATCACAGACTAAGCCCCAGCAGACTATGAGCCCCCTGAGTGCCCACAGGTGAGTCGGAGAGCGGGTTTAGAGCTGGCATGGCTTGGGGTGACTGATCCCTCCACAGCAGAGTTAACTCCAGTCCAGGAGCTGGGGGTCAACACTGGCCACCCCCCAGGCCCCCTTCAATGGCCCAGGCAGCAGGGACAAGTGCTTTATTTACAAGTGACAGGAGCACTTGCAACCCTCCCACGACAATGAAAATAGCTTCTTTATTATAAACACACAACTCACACAATGAGTTGTAGGACTCGTTATTTGTTTGGATTTTGGCGGGGGCCACACCCAGCGGTGTTCAGGGCTTACTCCTGGCTCTGTGCTCAGAGATCACTGCCGGCGGGCTCAGAGGACAGTGGTGCCAGGGACAGAACCTGGGTCATCCGTGTGCAAGGCAAGTGCCCTACCTGGTAGACAATCTCGCCGGCTCTATGTTCATTATTTCTGATCTCATCTTCTATATTTACAATCACATTATTTTATTTATTTTATTTTGCTTTTTGGGTCACACCTGGCGATGCACAGGGGTTACTCCTAGCTCTGCACTCAGGGGTTACTCCTGGCAATGCTCAGGGGACCATATGGGATGCTGGGAATTGAACTCAGGTCGGCCGCGTGCAAGGCAAACGCCCTACCCGCTGTGCTATCGCTCCAGCCCCAATCACATTATTTTATACGTAACGTAAAATGCAATCTAATGTCAAAGCACCCAACCATCTGATGAGTTAACCCCTTCGCCGCAGCGAGGTGGTGGGTCTGCGACCGAGACCCGTCCAGGGTGGTCGTCTGGGTCCATCGAAGCACCCGCCCCGACCCGCTGCAGAGACGTGCAAGGACCACACCCCTCTAGCTGCTCCAGGAACCCCCAGCTCGGCACGCACCAATCAAGGGATGAATGACGCGCCAGAGCCCGCCCCCGGCCGCCACAGAGCTGACTGACGCTCCCACCGGCCAATCCGCAGAGCGCGCTCCCGGCCCCGCCCCTGCCCCGCCCCCCGCGCACGCCGGGCCGGCTGCGCGGAAATCCCGGAGACGGAGCTGGCGGAGCGGCGGCGGCCGCCGCATGCGCATCCGCCGGGAGCGGTCGCCCGGGATCTCGTTTCCCCGCGGGGGGACACGCGGGGGTCCCAGCCCCGCCCTCGGCCCCCGCACGCCCGGCCCCGTCTGCTTCTCCCCACCCGGCCACCACAGTCCAGGACGGCGGCCCCGACTGAACCAAGAGGCCAGTCGTCGGGGCCGGCGGGCAGCCTCCGGAAGTGACGC